CGTCAAAGGTGACGTCATGGGAGGACAGAACACGACGCGAGGTGTGGTGGTAAAACTACCAACCAGGCGCGTCAGGGGGGGAAGCCAAGAAAGACGCAGGGAATAGCACGGGGGGACAACTTGTCCGCAGACAAGTCGTGGACAAACGCCCGAGATCACTAGACACGAAACGCGGACGCATCGCCAACCTTCCCCGTCCACCGCAAGGTGGGGGAAGTCTCCAGCAAGGAGACCCGGGGCTGAAGGTTGATCTGATGCGCTGCGTACTGAACCGCAAACGGCCACAGAAAATGGGGAGCAGCCGCATGGATCATGGACGTACGAGCGACGTCCATGACCATGCCAATGCGGCGCTCAGCAATCCCATTTTGCTGTGGAGAGGTCGAAAGTGTGAAGGTCTGGCGGATGCCCTGTGCACGACAGAAGGCTCCCAGAAGGGCAGAGGAAAACTCCCCGCCTCTGTCAGAGTGCAGACGCAGAACAGGAATGTCCGAGCCGAAACTCTCTCTGAGCTTGAGACGAGCCGCGCGGATCCAGTCGATCAACACCTCACTGACGTCACCCTTGCTGCGCAAGGAGAAGACTGCGGTGTAACGCGAGTAGTCGTCAACCACAAACAGGAAGTAACGCTCGTGACCTTGGCCACGGACGTGGGCGGGGCCCCACACGTCCATGTGAAGAGTCTGCATTGGAGCCTCTGTCGGAGGAAACTCAGAGGAGTGAGGGGCGGCGCGCTGCCGCCCCTGGACGCAGGGAACGCAGATAGGGGCAGGCCTCGGAGGGAGGGGAGGGAGGGACCGGGGAAGACCAGAGACAAGGACACGGGAGGCCATGCCTTGGAGACGAGGCAGGGAGGGGTGACCAAGGCGGTGGTGCCAGAGGAGAGTCTGGTGGGACAGGAGACGACACGAGTAGGGAGCAGACTCAGGACCTGACCTGGACGCTGCAGCCATTATCTGACTCGACGCAGCTACCTGACCAGACTCAACAACCGAAGGAGAATCAGTAGTCAGTGTGTACAGGCTCGACCCCGGCTGACGGGTAAACGTGGCCAAGTGTCGGCCCGTCCGAGCATACGTACAGTGGGTCACCCGCTGACTTGCAGGAGTGAACTGGTCAACCCCCCCATCCTGTAGATCAGCACCACTCACCAAGTTCGCAGAGAACGAGGGGAGGTAGAGACCTGACAGGGTGCCAGAGGGGGCTGCCGGACACGGTAAGACAGTGGAGAAGTGGGCAAGGACAGGACCCCCAGAGGGGTCTGCCAGGGAGACCGCAACCGGCCGACTAAGCGGCGTAAGTGTGGTGCGGTCTCGAAAGAAGGAGCGGGAAGCACCCGAGTCAAGGGTGAAGGTGTGTAAGGCCTGAGCCGACGTGGTACCTGAGACAGCAGACTCACCAGCACCTGGGGCAGCAGACGCACTAGCACCTAGAGCAGCAGCCTAACCAGCACCTAGAGCAGCAGCCTCAATGCTCGGGTCAGGCGGAACACACAGGTAACAGTCACCCTCATCACTAGTAAGCACAACATACATGGCAGCAAGAATAACATCATAATCAAGATCAAAGATAGCAACCCCCGACCTCTGCAGCTCTCCCCAGCGAGGGATCTCAGTGGCGTCAGGGAACTAGAGACGTCAGGCATCCGTCAGGCGGCCGAAGCAGCGCTGGGTGGGGTGCGGGCCCCCGCACTGCTCACCTGTACGGTCGCCGGTACGCAGGACGTAGGTACAGGGACCAGTACCCCCGCCCCGGTGACGCGAAGCGTACCACTCACGAAGCTGCTGGGGGGGCAGGGTTTCACGAGTGCGCTGCAGCTGTTGGCGCTGACCACCACCGAGGCCGCCCCGCTGCGCAGAGCCACCCCGACTAGCTCCACCTCCTCCGCCGCCACCTCCGCCACCGCCGCCACCGCCTCCTCCTCCGCTCCCACCGCCACCGCCGCCGCCGCCTCCGCCGCCACCGCCACCACCGAAGCCCCCACCCCCGCCACCACTCCCACCGCCACCCCTACTCCCTCCGCCGCCTTCACCGCCACCTCCACCACCCCTGCCAGCCCCTCCAGCGCCCTTGCCCCCCTTGCCCTTGCCGGTGCGGCGACGCTGTCTAACATTATATATGGTGTGCTTGTTTAGGCTACAGTGGGTTAGCCTATAGGGGGTACACAATTCTAGGGTTAGGTACTTGTACTGATTTCACTGTTAGTTCAATCATTCCTGTTCGTTCATTTCAACATGGTATAGAGCAGGTCCTTCGCTAGGACCGTTTTTTTAGGGCCCACCACTACCTACCTACCTACCTGCGCCCTAGGGCGCCTCGTTTTTCACGGCCCCCTAAGGCCCCGCGACCCGCGACCCGCCCCTTAGCGACTCGCGCGCCGTCCCTTAAGGCCCCGTCGGCCCACGCGCTCGCCCCTTACAGCCCCGCAATCGCCCCTTAGCGACCCTGTCGGCCCCGCGATCGCCCCTAACGGCCCCGTCGGCCCCGCGCTCACCTCCCTAGAGGCCCCTGTCGGCCCCGCGCTCGCCCTTAGCGGCCCCTTACGGCCCCGCGCTCGCCCCTAGAGGCCCCGAACGGCCCCGTGCTCGCCCTTAGCGGCCCCTTACGGCCCCGCGCTCGCCCCTAGAGGCCCCGAACGGCCCCGCGCTCGCCCTTAGAGGCCCCTTACGGCCCCGCGCTCGCCCCTAGAGGCCCCGATCGGCCCCGCGCTCGCCCTTAGAGGCCCCTTACGGCCCCGCGCTCGCTCCTAGAGGCCCCGAACGGCCCCCCCAGAACGAGCCGCCCGACCCGAGCAGCCCGAACCGAGCCGCCCAGCCCGAACCGAGCCGCCCGAACCGAGCCGCCCGAACCGAGCCGCCCAGCCAAAACCAAGCCGCGCCGCCTGAACCTAGCCGTGCCGCCCTTCCCGAGCCGCGCCGCCCTACCTGAACCGAGCCGCGCTGCCCGTACTGGACCGAGCCGCCCTACCTGAGTCGCACTACCTACTGTTTTTGGGGTGCCCCTACTGCTATGGCTAGCCCTCCTGTGCTAGCTTTCGATGCTGAGGGCCGCCCAGTGAAGTTCGATACCTGGCTAGATGACCTACACCTCTTCCTACAGCTCACTGCCAAGGAGGACATCTCACTGTACGATCACGCCCTAGGCCATGCTCTTGCTTCTGCTGCTACTGCTGACAGCACTGCTCGCTCACAGTGGCAGACTTGTGACGCCCACACTCGCTTCGCTATTCGCAACTCCCTGCCGATAGATGAGCGCGAGCACTTTGGGCAGCACAAGACTGCACAGGTACTGTACACTGCTGTCATTGCCCGCTACTCCTCACCGGCCTCTGCCGCACTAGGCCGTCTCTCTCTTCCCTACCTGTTCCCCGACTTAGCCTCTTTCCACACAGTCGCTGACCTCATTACGCACCTCCGCACTAGTGAGGCTCGCTTCCGCGCCGCCATGCCTGATGAGTTCCTTGCCAAGAACCCACCCCCACTCTGGCTCACTCTCTACCACCTAGTCACCCGCCTCCCTGACACTCTGCGCTCAGTCAGGGACCACTTCCTAGCTCGCTGCCCCACTGAGCTCACCATTGCCCTCCTCGAGAAGGAACTCCTTGCAGCTGAGGCTAGCATAGTCGCTGTAGGTGCCTCTCGTGGCAACCCCCGTACCCCGTTCTTTGAGGGGTGTTCTCCTTCCCCCCTTCTTCCCTCTGTCGCCTCTGCTGCTGCTGTCGACCTCCTTGGTGCTGAGAAGGTCGGGACTGCGTCTGCTTCGAGCGGGCGCCGCAGCGGCAAGGGCAAAGGGGGCAAGGGCGGTGGCGGTGACAGCGGGGGAGGCGGTGGTGGGGGCGGTGGCGGCGGTGGGGGTGGTGGCGCGACTGGAGGGGCTAGTGGCAGCGGTGGGGGTGGTGGCGGCAGCGGCGGGGGAGGTGGCAGGGGCGGAGGCGGTGGTGGGGGTGGCGGTGGACGCGGCGGCGGCAGGGTTTGGGGTGGTCGAGGAGGTGGCGGCGGCGGTGGTGGTCGTGGAGGCGCTGGCGGTGGCCAGGGCCAGCAGCACACTCCGTCGCCCCAGGAGGTCCGTGAGTGGTACTCTCAGCACGGGGGGGGGGGGGGGGGGGGGGGGGTGGCTTTAGCTGCACGTACGTCATTCGCACTGGTGACCGCACTGGTCAGCCGTGTGGGGGACCGCACGCCACACAGCGCTGCTTCGCTCGTCTCAACGACGCTTGGCGTGTTTAGTTCCCTCAGGCCACTGAGCTGCCCCGCTGGGCTGATCTCCTGAAGAAGGGGATTGATGTTTATGCTCTAGACTTCGATGCTATTCTCACTGCTATGTATGTGATGTCTACTAGTGGAGAGGGTGCTGAGTACCTGTGTGTGCCGCCCGACCCGGGCATTAGGACTTGTGCGTCTGCCGCTCCAGGTACTCGTGTGTCTGCTACCCCAGGTGCTGGTGAGGCAGCTGCTCTAGGTGCTTGTGCGTCTGCCCCCCCTGGTACTGAGTCGACGGCAGCACTGCACACCTTCACACTGGACTCAGGTGCTTCTCGCTACTTCTTTCGTGACCGCACTGCCCTTGAGCCGCTTGCTCGGCCAGTTGCTGTCTCCCTCGCTGACCCCTCTGGGGGTCCGGTCATTGCGACCTCCTCCACTATCCTTCCCTGTCCTGCGGTCCCGTCGGGCACACTGTCAGGTCTCCACCTCCCCTCGTTCTCTACAAACTTGGTGGCAGGTAGCGCACTCCAGGACGGGGGTGTTCACCAGTTCACCCCTGCCTACGAGCGCGTGACACACTGCACGTGTGCTCGTACGGGCCGCCACTTGGCTACCTTCACTCGGCAGCCGGGGTCGGACCTCTACACACTGACCATTGAGTCCCCTCAGATCGCTGCGTCTGCGTCTGCGTCCGCGTCAGGTCAGCTGTCTGCCCCCTGCTCATGTCGCTCTTTGGCGCACGAGACTTTCCTCTGGCACCACCGACTTGGCCACCCGTCTGTGCAGCGCCTTCGTGCCATGCACTCCCGGTACCTTGTCTCCGGTCTTCCCAGAGTCCTCCCTCCCCTCACACCCTCGCCTGCTCCTCCCTGTCTTCCCTGCGTCGAGGGGCGGCAGCTCGCCGCTCCTCACTCCTCCTCGTTTCCCCCGACGACTGCTCCCTTGCAAACGCTCCACATGGACATGTGGGGCCCAGCCCACGTCCGTGGTCAGGGTCAGGAGAGGTACTTCCTGATAGTTGTTGACGACTACTCGCGCTACACCACGGTCTTCCCCTTGCGCACCAAGGGTGAGGTCCTTGATGTCTTGATCCCTTGGATCCGTAGAGCCCGTCTCTAGCTCAGCGAGCGTTTCCACTCGGACTTTCCTGTCCCGCGCTTGCACTCTGACAGTGGTGGTGAGTTCTCCTCCGACCTCTTGGCAGCCTACTGTGCTGAGCACGGCATTGAGCAGTCGCTCACGCTTCCAGCCTCTCCACAGCAGAATGGGATTGCGGAGCGCCGCATTGGCCTGGTCATGGAGGTCGCCCGTACCTCCTTGATCCATGCGGCTGCCCCCCACTTTCTGTGGCCGTTTGTGGTCCGGTACGCTGCGCATCAGCTCAAACTCTGGCCCCGTGTCTCCTTGCCGGAGACCTCGCCCACACTGCTGTGGACGGGGGAGGTTGGCGATGCGTCGCGTTTCCGGGTCTGGGGATCTCGAGCTTTTGTCCGCGATACGTCTGCGGACAAGCTCTCCTCCCGTGCTGTTCCCTGCGTCTTCCTCGGCTTTGTCCCAGACACGCCTGGTTGGCAGTTTTACCACGCCACCTCACGCCGAGTCTTGCCCTCTCAGGACGTCACTTTTGACGAGTCCGTCCCCTACTACCGCCTCTTCCCCTACCGCACTGCCCCGCTCCCCCCCCCGCCTCTCTTCCTCGCGCAAGGTGCTGTTGTCGTAGACCCCCTCCCCCCTCAGGGTGCCGCTCCCTCAAGTGTGTCTCAGGTAGACCCGGTTGAGCCTGTTGAGGTAGCTGTCGACTCTCGTCCTGCTGTGGGTGCGGAGCCTGGGGGTGCTGAGCCTGGGGGTGCGGAGCCTGGGGGTGCTGAGCCTGGGGGTGCGGAGCCTGGGGGTGCGGAGCCTGGGGGTGCGGAGCCTGGGGGTGCGGAGACTTGGGGTGCTGAGCCTTGGGGTGCGGAGCCTGGGGGTGCTGAGCCTAGGAGTACTGAGCCTGGGGGTGCTGAGCCGCATAGTCCGGAGTCTGGGGGTTTTGAGTCTAGAGGTCTTGAGCCTGAGGGTCCTACACCTGGCGAAGCCCTCTCCTCGGAGCAGCTGCGTAAGTGGTACTTCCAGTACTGCAGCCTCAGGAGAGGTACCTCTGGAGCCAGGCGTACTACTGGGACTGGTGCTAGTGCTTCTCCTCCTAGCCGGGAGCTCCCCTCCCATGAGCGGATCCGTGAGTGGTACGAGCGGCGCTGCACTCTTCGGAGTGGCACGCCTGGTGTCGCGGACCCCGCTGCTGCTGGTGGTGCTACTGGTGCTGGAGACTCTACTGGTTCTGCTGGTGCTGCGGCCCCAGAGGTTGGAGTTGTTTCTGGTGCTGCGGACCCGGGCGTTGGAGCTACGGCTGGTGCTGCGGACCCAGGCGCTGGTGCTGCTGCTGGTGCTGAGGACCCGGGCGTTGGAGCTGCTGCTGGTACTGAGGACCCGGGCGTTGGAGCTGCTACTGGTGCTGAGGACCCTGGAGCTGGTGTGCTGCTGGTGCTGTGGAGTCGGGCGTTGGAGCTGCTGCTGGTGCGGAGGACCCTGGCGCTGGTGTCTCTGCTGGTTCTGGAGTCGCTGCACGGCAGCGGCCGTACTTCGTTCCGCTCCTTCAGCAGGTTCTTGGTCTCCCGCCTTCTCTCGGTCCTCCTCCTCCCTTAGAGTGTCCACAGCCTGTCCAGTCACAGTTACAGTTACAGCCCGCCACCCCACTGCCTGCTCCTTCTCCCTACACTGGTCCTACTGGAGGTCTTGCTGAGCGTCGTGAGCCTGCGTCTCGCCCTGCGTCGCCTGTCCGTCCTGCTCGCACTAGTGGTTGCGGTTCGCGTCAGCGTCCTCCTCCTGACCCTGGCACGCACCGGATGTCTCTGCGTCCGTTTACTGCTCCTCTGTGTGCCCCTTTGCCTTCTCCTCCTGAGTCCTCTCTTCCTGCTCTTCCCGACCCGGAGTCGGACTCTCTTCGTGCTGCCAGTCCTACTGTCACGCGTCTCCTTGCTACTGTCGTCACTGACCCTTCTTTTGAGTCCACTACTGCGTCTGCCCTAGTTGCTGAGCTCGTCGACTTTGCTGCTCGCTGTCGTCTAGACTACGCTGCTAGTCTTGTCGCTGAGTCTGAGTCTGTCTGTCCCCCGTCCGTTAGGGGTGAGTGTGCCCTTGGCACGGACATCCTTGAGGACAGGCAGGAGGAGTTCCAGTGCTTGGCCGCTGCTTCACCTCATCTCGTGTCCGTACTGCTTACCCCTGAGGGAGACCCGGATGCACTAGACATCCCGACTCCGCGCTCTTACGCGGAGGCGATAGAGGGTCTCTACTCTTCTCAGTGGCAGGCAGCTATGGATGCAGAGATGGCTTCCTGGAAGTCCACAGGCACCTACGTTGACGCGGTTCCCCCACCTGGGGCGAACATCGTCAGTGGCATGTGGATTTTCAGGGTGAAGCGGCCGCCGGGTTCTCCGCCTGTCTTCAAGGCGCGTTACGTAGCTCGTGGCCTCAGTCAGCGGCAGGGAGTTGACTACTTTCAGACCTTCTCTCCCACCCCGAAGATGACCACTCTTGGGGTACTACTGCATGTAGCTGCTCACATTGACTACGAGCTACACTCTCTTGACTTCAGCACTGCCTTCCTGCAGGGCAGCCTGCACGAGGAGATCTGGCTGCGCCGCCCACTTGGCTTCACTGGGACTTTTCCTCCTGGCACCCAGTGGAGCCTCCGGCGGCCAGTCTATGGTCTCCGCCAGGCACCGCGTGAGTGGCACGACACACTGAGGACTACGCTTGTGGCTCTTGGGTTTGCTCCCTCTACTGCCGACGCGTCGCTGTTTCTACGCACCGACACTTCTCTGCCGCCGTTCTACATCCTTGTATACGTCGACGACTTGGTCTTTGCCACAGCTCACTCTGCTGGACTCGCCTACGTGAAGTCCGAGCTGCAGAAGAGACACACGTGCACATACCTGGGTGAACTGCGCAGCTACCTTGGCTTGCAGATCACCCGGGAGAGAGGCCGCCGCACCATTACCCTGACTGAGTCACACATGGTGCAGCAGGTCCTTCAGCGCTTCGGCTTCATATACTCCTCGCCTCAGGCCACTCCTCTGCCTACTCGCCACTCGCTCTCAGCTCTGCCTTCGGATGAGTCCGTAGAGTCGAGTGGCCCGTACCCAGAGCTTGCTGGCTGCCTCATGTACCTGATGACCTGCACACGACCTGACCTTGCATACCCTCTTAGCATTCTTGCACGCTATGTTGCTCCTGGGAGACACCGACCAGAGCACATGGCTGCAGCGAAGAGGGTGTTGCGCTACTTGTGCAGTACGTCGGGCATGGGGCTAGTGCTTGGAGGGCAGAGTCCTGTGGTCCTCACTGGTCACGCAGACGCTTCTCGGGCTGACGACCAGGCTACGCAGCGGTCGTCACAGGGTTACACCTTCAGCCTTGGTTCCGGCTCTGTTTCGTGGCGGGCTACTCGCTCGTCTTCTGTTCTCGGCTCCAGTTGTGAGGCTGAGATCTACGCAGGGGCCATGGCTGCTCAGGAGCTTCGCTGGCTCACCTACCTGCTGACCGACCTTGGAGAGCCGCCTCGTTCTCCTCCAGTCCTGTACGTAGACAACAAGGCCATGCTGGCCTTGTGTCGAGAGCAGAGACTGGAGCACAGAACAAAGCACATTGCTCTCCGCTACTTCCTTGCTCGTGAGCTACAGCAGCGTGGTCAGTTGCGGCTTGCGTACGTGGCCTCTGAGGCGAACACTGCTGATGTCTTCACCAAGGCACTTGCGCCTTGTGATCATCAACGCTTCTGCACCCAGCTGGGTCTTGTACCTGTCTTGCCTCACTTGCTCACCTCTTGACCTTGCTTGTACTGTTACATATATATATACCTGCTCTTGCTTATCTAGCCTTATATATATATGTACTCATGCATGTGAACTGGCCTTGTGGCCTTGAACTTGTGCTCGGAATGTGTGGTGACTTTGTGATCCACCCTGAGCTTGCTTTGCTTTGCTTTACTTGACTGGTCTTCTGACCCCTAGTTCTCCCCCACTTCGCCTATGGGGGTGTGTCAAACATTATATATGTTGTGCTTGTTTAGGCTACAGTGGGTTAGCCTATAGTGGGTACACAATTCTAGGGTTAGGTACTTGTACTGATTTCACTGTTAGTTCAATCATTCTTGCTCGTTCATTTTAACAGACGCACGCTAGGGGCAGACGCAGCGCCGACCGACTCGGTGCCAACGAAGTCGACGGCATCAGCAGAGGCAACAGAGGGCAAAAGGGGGGAGGGGGAGCACCCTTCAAAGACGGGGGCACGAGGGTCACCTCGAGAGGCTCCTACAGCGACTTTACTCTTCTCAGCTGCCAAGTGGCGCTCCTCAAGGAGGTCAACGGTGAGTGTGGTGGGGCAAACAGAGAGGAAGTGGTCCCTCACCAAGCGAAGGGAGTCAGGGAGCCGGGTGACTATGTAGTAGAGGGTGATGTACATGGGTGGGGGGTTCTTGGCGTAGAACTCAGCAGGAAGCGCAGCGCAATAGCGGGTGTCACTAGTGCGAAGGTGCGTAACGAGGTCAGCGATAGTGGGAAAGGCGACGAGGTCAGGAAACAGGTACGGCAGCATGAGGTGGCTAAGGGCAGCAGTGGCAGGGGAAGAGTAGCGTGCAGCTACAGCATCGTACAAGGTCTTAGCACTCTTGTATTGACTAAAGTGTGCGCGCTCAGTGGACGGCAAATGACTACGCACAGCAAGACGGGCAGCAGCATCGCGTGTGGCCCACTGTGAGCGAACAGTGCTATCAGCATCGGCAGCAGGGGCAGTAGAGGCGCCGGACGTGAGATCGAACAGGGAGAGACCGTCCTTCCTATCTCACTGTAGGAATAGCTGTAGATTATCGACCCAGATCTTAAAGTCAACAGCGCGACCCTCAGCATCAAAGACTAGAACACTAGGGGTAGCCATGACAGCAGTGGCAGTAGGCTAGGGGCAGCAGTAGCATGCGTGGCTCGGCAGTGCTCTCACCAGGGCTGGTAGGTAGGGGGCGGCAAGCGGTGGGGCAGGGCCGAGGCACGCCGGCAGGGACAGAGCCGCGACCGCAGCGGCAGCTCTTGCTGTTGGCGGCGACGGCTGCTGCTGGTGGTGGCCGCCGCTGGTGTCGGCGGATTCTGCTGCTGTCGGGTGCTGCTGGTGGCGGCTGCTGCTGGCGGCGGCTGCTGCTGGTGGCGGAGGAGCCGAGGAGGGGCCGGGAAGGGTGGCGACGGGGCCGTGAAGGGCGGCGACGGGCCGCTAGAGGCGGCGACGGGGCCGCGAAGGGCGGCGACGGGGCCACTAGGGGCGGCGACGGGGCCGCGAAGGGCGACGACGGGGCCGCTAGTGGTGGCGACGGGGCCGCGAAGGGCGGCGACGGGGCCGCTAGGGGCAGCGACGGGGCCGCGAAGGGGCCGCGAGGGGGCTAGAAGGGCGGCGACGGGGCCGCGAAGGACGGCGACGAGGCCGTATAGGGTGGCGACGGGGCCGCTAAGGGTGGCGACCGGGCCGCTAAGGGTGGCGCGAGGGGCCGTGAGAGGGGTCTCTAGGAGGGCACGACAGGCCGCTAAGGGCAAGGGACGCGACGAGATGGCGGCCCACGGGGCGCGCCTCGGGCAGGGGTGACTCGCGCTTTGGTCAGGAAAAAAAAAAAAAAAAAAATCGATTTCAGTGGTGGGCCCTAGAAAGCGTTCCCACGAGGGAACCTGCTCTATACCATGTGAAGAAATGAGGAATGAATGCACTAGCAAATAGGTGGGTACAAGTAGGAAAACCTAAAAGTGTTGTACCCCATATTGTCTACCCCACTACAACCTACACAGACTATAGCATATAAGTTTGACACCGCGTTCCGCTTCCTTGAGCTCTTCATCACCTGACACGTGGGGCACGAGCCCATGTGCTGCTGCACGTCAGTCAACAGCTCCGGCCAGTAGTAATACCGCTGCAGTTGCTGTCGCGTTTTTTCTACCCCAAAATGTCCCAAGGTAATTCCGTCGTGTGCCTCCTGCAGTAGTAGCTCCCTCAGTAGTGAGTACGCGGGTACCCAGATGCGGTTGGTGCCTGTTTTTACGTAATAAACTCTTTTAGCTTCTGCCAGTTGCTGTGAATTTCCGGTCGTAAAGAATGGGTCAGTGCGGTATCCGTGGGTAAATAGGCCTGTTAAAAGTGGGCTGGTCTGGGCGAGTAGGATGGCGTGGAGTTGGGCGGTAGGGCGGGTGAGTGCGTCGGCGATGTTGGATGCGCCTTTCTTGTACGTAACCGTGTAGTGGAAGTTGGACTCGAGGTAGTCCAACCAGCGAATCTGTCGTGGATTGAGATTCGGTTGGGCGCGTAAGTACTGTAGTGATCGGTGGTCTGTCCGTACTGTCACGTCGGCGCCAGTCAGGTAACACCGCCAAACCTTGAACGCGTGCACGATCGCCAACATTTCGCGGTCGTGTATCGGGTAATTGCGTTCGGGCGGGTGCAGCTTGCGGGACTCGTACGCGATTGGCTGGAGGCCGTTCCCGAAATCCTGCAACAGTACTGCTCTCGCAGCGATGTCACTTGCGTCAGTGACGAGCTCGAACGGACGGTGTGGATCTACGATGTGAAGCACGGACGGTGAGCACAAAAGGTTTTTGAGGGCCGAGAAGGCAGCT